GGGCTGCGGCAGAGCAAGGTGCAGCCTGTTCCCTGCAGGGGCAGATGAAGTGCGTGTAGTTCATTTGTCAGAGCAGGTACTTCCCGTTCAGCAGTGATTCTGTAACAAATGAAGATTAATAGCGGTAACTGGAAAACGTTTTCTGACGTTTGCTTTGTGTCCTTAGGTCTGCTCGTGGTGAGAACTTCATGTTACTAATGCCTTTCTGTTTCTCACTTAGAAACTTGTAAGAATGTAATGGAAAATTTTATGTTTGTGTTGTCTTCTTGCATTTCTGCAACAACTAGATCTGCATGAACAGTGAATATATGTGCTGTAAAGTGGCAGTTTCTCACTAGGTTAGTGGGAAGAGAGAAGCAGGTTATAAACACTGCTGTGCCTAGTTGATTTTTGTCTGTAATGTTTATGTGACAGAAGTTTCACCTGAGCAGAACTACTTAATTGGATTGTGGTAGTGATTTTGTGGGGGGAAAAAAAAAAAATAAACCCACACACCTTAACTTTGAGCTATCTGTTTGCTGGCAGTGTGGGTGAGGAGGAGAGCAAAGAGGTATTGTATTCTGCATGGATTAGATACAGCAATCATCTGTGTTACAGTAGATTTTTACTATCTTCAGATCAGACATCTGTTTCAAGTGTAACACAGGCTAATCAGTACTGACAGGTGGCTGATGCTGAAGGTGGACTGCGCAGATATGAGACTAATTCAAACTAAGAAAGTTTGAGTGCATGGAGTTGGAATAGAAACTTTTTATAGTACAACTAAGTACAATGCATACTTTAATATGTGTAGGCACTCACTGCAAATGAACAAACAAACAAAACATTTCAAATTGAGGTATATGTTTTTGTTTTTTAGACCCCATCAGCTGTTCAGAAGATAAAACAGCTTCTCAAAGATAAACCTGAGCATGTAAGTATAAACAGAGCCAACCTGTAGATTGTGCTAAGGTATTAGCACAGCTCATGATTGCAAAGCATTTCTGGCTAACTTAAAAATTTGAAATAAACACGGAGGTGTTTATTAGAGATGTTGGCATTTTTTTCTGGAGAGGAATGTGTAAGCTTGTTTATATTTCAAGCTGCATTTCTTATGAAATGCAGGAAATAACTGACTGTAATGACATTTCACTGTACAGTAACTTTTGAGATGGATAAAGGTGAAAAAAATTTAAGCTTCAAAATACATTTTGCTATATTTTAATGAAGTCTTTTAGTATGGCTTTTGTGCATTAACCTCAGCCAGCAACTAAGCATCACACAGCTGATAGCTCACTCCCCCACCATGGGATGGGGGCAAGAATCGGACAAGTGGAAGTGAGAAAACTCATGGGTTGAGGTAGAGACAGTTTAATAGGGAAAGCGGAAGTTGCACATGAAAGCAAAGCAAAACAAGGAATTCATTCACCACTTCCTGTCGGCAGGCAGGTGTTCATCCATCTCGGGGGAGGCAGGGCTGCATCACACTTAATGGTTACTTGGGAAGACAAATGCCGTAAGAGGTTGCCCAGAGATGTGGCAGATGCCTCATCCCTGGAAACATTCCAGGTCAGGCTGGACGGGGCTCTGAGCAACCTGATCTAGTTGAGGATGTCCCTGCTCGTTGCAGGGGGTTTGGACTAGATGACCTTAAAGATCCCTTCCAACCCAAAATTTCTATCATTCTATGATAACTCTGAATGTGTGTTGTGTACCCCCACCCTCGCTGCTTCTTCTTCTCCCCAGCTTTATATACTGAGCATGACATCATGTGATGTAGAATATCCCTTTTGCCAGCCTGGGTCAGCTGTCCCAGCTGTGTCCCCTCCCACCTTCCTGTGTCCCTCCAGCCTTCCCGCTGGCAGGCCAGCATAAAAAGCCAATCCCTGACTGCTTAGCAATAACCCAAAACATCAGCACGTTATCAACATTTTTTCATCCCAAATCCACATAGCCTCCTACTAGCTTCTGTGAAGAAACTGAACTGTATCCCAGCTGAAACCAGGACAATGGCATAGTGGT